TGTCTGTCTTTGTGGAATTTGTGTCTTTATAGGCAAAATTTACGAAAATGTCATGGATGTTATATGGACCCATTTGGAACTAAAATGATGGGGTCTCGGATGCCTTCTGTTCTAGATATTTTCTGATTGTTTAGCTTAAGGGAGTTCAATGGATTATCAGAAAGTATTCACTGTTTCTAGAGCACATGCCTCCTCTAAGTAATAATTATTATATCTAGAGATTTCATGCTGTAATGGTATGCTTCTGATCTAAAGCATGATACTGGAAGTGGAAGCAATGTTGCATGTAGTTGAAGGGAAGAGTCGGATTAGGACCTGCACGTCAGTTTTTGGCTTCATAATAGGAAAAGTTAAGGTCTGAAACCAATACAATATGGTACTATTGAATCTATGTTTGCCTGGACTTCATAATAGTCCAAGATTGCACCTTGGACTAGTTTGCTTGCAAAATAACTCCCAACATAAAAATTCAGGAGTTGCATCGGGGATGTAAAATGACTTCCAAATGAAAAGCTCAGAAGTTCTTTTGTAAGCTGCATGTGGGATGTTGAGAGATATGTAACGGCATCACAATTCATTCCTCATCAGGGTTCATCTGCTCATCCTCCACCATGACACTCATCAGTAATGATGGCTTGTTTGATTCCCTTCCCTTTGTCCTTCCCTGCTCCCTTGTTCTCTTTTTGCTCTTCTCCATCCTACCCCTTTCTTCTTACCCCTGTCACACTCTCCTCCTCCCTTTTCCCTCCCTCCTGCTTGAGCACCAATCCCACCTCAAGCTATCCGCCCTCTCTCCTCTCTCCATGTCGACCTAATCAATTTATGAGGGGGAGTTTAATCACCTAATTTGTAGAGTTTTCATATGCATTCTTTATAAAGACAACCAAATAGCCAAGTTGCAAATCTGAGTTCCACATGCAACAAATCAAACAGTGTTGTTGCAAACCCTCACAAGACCAGAAAATTTCAACAGTAATGTATTTTTAGCTATTGCAACTGCAATTTTTTTGCAGTTTGTAGGCTTACATGTTCTTACAAACTCTTTCAAGTCTAATTTAAAATGTAACATTTTAAAATTTTCACAGATATTTTGTATTAAAGGTTTGATAATTAATGAGAGGAAAAAAACTATATCATGTTTTTTTGGTCTCTTTGGCTACTTATTTGATGAGAGCTAACACTTATTATACTAATTTGCAATTTTGGTTCTCAAAATAACTGGTTCTCAAAATGACACTAATTATACTATATGGATACTTTTCTGCGGTTGAAATTCCATCAGGGATGATGGCCAAAAGCTAGGTTAATCTGGATGCCAAAGACTACCATGCATTCCTCATTACTTTTGACAGTCTTCTTTGGCCTTTTTTCTTTGCTCAACATATTGACTCGAATTTGCTGGGCTTCCTCATCGAAAAGAAAAAAATATATATCTGACCTTCCTTATTGTTAAGTTAAATGGTTGTTTCTTGACATATCTGCAACTACCCTAAACTATTCATCAATCTACTTATTCTCGAGTGGTGCTACCCACAAATTTGAGAATGCAGTTCTCTTATTGTAAACCATCTATGGTTATCCTCTCAGCTACACTAACTTTTTAGTGTGTGCTGCTTCCTGACAACTACAAACATTTAGATCATAAAACATAAACCATTTTCTCGTATTATGTGAACATTATGTTCTTTAATATGCCCCTTTTTACTGCATATTGTACAAGATCAAGGAAGTTTTTTTTTTGTTTTGCTGTTCGAAAGTTTGCCAATCATTGTATTATGTAACCATTGTATACAATGCTTTTGCCTTCTTTATGCTAAGAGTGGTGTCAATTATGTTGATAATGACAGGACAATATGGATGTTACACAAAAAAATCAGTGATCAGCTACACTTAGATTGCTATTGAGTTGATTGATTCAGTCAGGATTAAAAGCAATCCACGTAAAGATTGTGATTAAGTAAAGAATAAAAGTGTGAGAAAAAAGAGGTAGAAGTATTGGAACTGATGGGATAGCATACAGGGTCAATGGCTATAGCTTGATTACACACATCACCCTGGTCCTTATCTCAATTGGTCGTCTACTTAGAGAGACTGATATATACACTTTGTTGCTCTGGCTAGCGTGCTTTGAGCTTTGAAGTTTGTTGAATCAGGTTGCTTTTGGATAGGATTTAGTTGGTTGCATGCTAAAAACTGAAACTCAAAATTATCTTAGCTTTACCCGGATGAGCCTAAACAAACTGGCTGGATTTGGTTTCATCCATTTTCAGAACTTCAGTTTTTTCTTTGTTTGTAGGAAGACACTTAACACATGTATCTTCACTCATTTTTTCTTCTCCAAAAGTTGTTCCTTGCATCAAATTTGTGAGATACTTAGCATTGGGTTTTCAGCTGCTTATATTTTCAGTCATGGTATGGAAATTGAAGATCCCAAGATTCATCATCTGATTATTGGCGGAAATCTGTAGTATGTAAACCTATATTTATATGATTCATATTATATTATATTTATGTCTGCACATGAATGTAGATGTTGTCAAATGGACAAATAGATTGAGCCCGTATTATTCAAGAAATAATAATGTTTGTTAGCTATTTAGTTGTATTTTTTTCTTGTTTAACCAGTAAATTGTATTATTGATTATCCTTATTAAGAGGAGCCTTAAGTTATTCTTTATTTTTCTTAGTTAATAATGAAATCATTCAAGTTGTCTATATCACTTAAAATGTCTTTTTTTAGGGGAATAACGCCTGATATTAGAAACACTTGCTTTTTCTCCATGTCATTGTTAAATGCTTTTGTTAATCCTAATTCCTTGGTTAATTTCACCTCTCTTTCTAAAAGCCTCCTCATGATCATCATAATTGCAACTATATACATAGAACTTTTATGCACAAGTCTTCTCTTTTATGTGAACAACCTCTTCAAAGATGAACCTGATGCAACTTTTAGCCAATAAATTGATCCTTGTTACAAAAATTGTGTTGTTTCTATTATCGAAGGGCTATCAACTTCTTGACAGCGATACAACTTGAAAGTGAATTGTATTTGAATGACAAATACAAAAGAGGGTAGGAACTTAAATTGCCTCTGGGCATGGTGTTCCCTGCTTAGATCGATCGAACTTTTGAAAATTGTTGCAAGAAAATTTATAATTAGCATAGAATTAATTTTTCGAGGGCGAGCCCTGGTCCAAAGGTAAGGTTGCTCCTTTGCGACCTAAAAGACCAAGATTCGAGTCACGAAAACAATCTCTTTATTAGCCTTCCCCAAACCCCGCATTGGCTGGAGTCTCGTGTATTGGGTACATCCATTTTTATAAAATTAAATTTCTTTTAGTTCTCCAGCAACATAGGACTCCTGATGAAATAATTTTGCTGTCTCAAGTTTGTTGATTCTTTAGATAGGTTATCATAGCCCTTTATTCTTTTTCCAATGTTCCTGAATTATTATTGATTCTTGTAATTATTCGGTTTGATAAAACACTGATCCATTTTTGTAATAATTCAATTCATGAACTGAGAACAGGTAAAACAATATCTTAATCATAGATTAATTTTTCTTAGTGACTTCAGAATTTTCATTGTGAGATCGATGAGCTTATGATCCTTGTAATGACTCATTGAAACCTTAAATTCTTCCTAGTCATGTCCTCATTTATTCTTCTGTTATTGTCATCCGAAGTTCCTCAGCACAACTCTCTTGCTTTGGGCGAATTCAGCAGTTCTACAAACGAGTTTCCTAACTTTAGTTGTCGGTCATGACAAATCTGTAAAATAGCTGTTTTGCTGCTCCGTGTTTTCAGAATAGGAACTTATTGACTGAAGGCATAATCTGAACTTCCTAAATGATTTTTTTTAGTATGATAATTAGTGCGTGTTTGAATATTATAGGATCATGGGAAGATTTTCTCATCGTGTAAAGTTCAAACACCTCGTAAGAAAATTGAAATCCTTTCTATAAATCTAGCAGACATGGTATCCTTCGGCAGTTGGTATTTATCTTTCTATGCTTCACATTGCTTTTCCACAGGAAACTAAATTGTCTCATTTAAGTTTGATTTTATCGAATCATCGTTGTTTCTATTGCTGCACCGAACTGACATCACGATTGTTATAGGGTGCCGGCAAACTTGGCCATCGAGGGAGGAGATCGGTGATTACCGCCCAGGACTCGGTCCACCACCATACCCGTTACCTGGTCACAAACTTATACTCTCAACTCTGATCATGTCTAAATCAAAGACGACCTAAGCAGGGATTCCTGTCATCCTATAATGTTCATCCGGCATAGGATATTCTTCATCCAGATTGTTGTGGTACATAAATCCATGCAACTTGATGCATAATAAATTACATTTGCAGTATTTGCTTGCCTCTCAAATTCCATCATTTCCATGCTGAATCCTTAGCTTCTATTTTTCTGTCTGATGTTTCCATTTTGCTGCTGAGATGGTATTTTACATTCCATAACAATGATTTGAATCCATACTCATTGCTTTCACGGTCCTAAAATGACATGTTTGCCCCTTCCAAAATACTCAATCATTATTGATTGTAATTCTTAATGTGGTCGATAAATATATTAAAGTTTTGCTCATAAAAGTATCTTTTATCATTTTCATCGAATTTTTGATTTTTTGAAAATTTAAACTTAAATATAAAAAAATTACTAATTTAAAATAATATATATGTAATAGTCATGCCTTCTTTCGTTTGCTCAAACTTTACCTAATGGGAAGCCTCTCGTCGTCGTTTCATCGAGCGCGTGCTTCTTGCCCGTTCGGGCTCTCGGACGCTGCCGAGACGTTGTTCGATGGAATGCGCGACCCGTGACGCCGATTCGTATGAAGTACGTCTTCACATATGAAGGGTAATTATGTCTTTTCATTTAGATGGTAGGCAATGTTTCTCTCCGTCAATAAAGTACTATTGGTGGGATTGATGGGTATAATGTCCGTATTGTCCTCTGCTTTTGTTATAATAACCGAACGAACCAGCTTATCTCTTTTGCTCTGTGGAAGAAGCCTTTCTCGGTTTATCGTGTTTCCGTCCCATGGCCGTTCGTCTCCTCCTCTCCTGCTCCCCGAAACCCCCTTCTCGAATCCAAAACCGTAGTTCAAGCCCTAACACCAGGTTCCCTCTCAGCTGCGAATCGAGGAACTTCTCGGATTGGTGCTTCATCAGGCGAGGACTAGCCGTCTCCGTTGTTTCCCTGGCCCTCGCATTGACCCTCGGAAGCTCTCCTCCTGGTGCGCTATCTGAGGCGCCCCCTCCTCCTTCCCGTAACCCTGTTCTCGCTGGAATTGCCAACACCAAATCGTGGTTTCAGTTCTACGGCGACGGGTTCTCGATCCGTGTTCCACCGCTCTTCGAAGACATCATGGAGCCAGAGGTGATGAAACCAAGCTTTCGAAGGGCTAATCTTGCGGCGGTGTAGTTATTCTTGTTTAGTTGCTTTTATTTGATTCGTTTGTTGTTTTCGTCCTTTTAGGAATTTAGTGCTGGATTCTCATTCTATGGCGACAAGGCAAAACCTAAGACATTTGCAGCTCGGTTTGCCTCCCCAGACAGGTACAATATATGTCTTGCTGATGCCTCTCTCCTTTGTTTGGGATAATTAGCTGTATTATGCTTTTCTAAATGTCCTTCCTTCACCTTGATTGAGTATGATGATAATGGAAATGATAAAGGGTTTTTTCTTCGTATTATGCTATTTATACATGACTTAGTGGTTGTTGGCTTATTTGCTTCTAGGAAGAACTAAGATTCCTCTATATTAGATCACATTATCAAGATTGTCATTCTGCTGGTTACGTACCTTGTTTCGTTTCCTATATCATCACATTTTTGCTCATTTTGTAGATCGGAAGTTGTAACTGTGGTGATTCGGCCAACCAATCAGCTCAAGATCACATTCTTAGAGGTCTGTTAACTAGTGATGAATTTTTTTCTATCTGCTATTCGACATGATTTTCTTGTTTTGGTGACATATGTTCACAATTGTCAGTTGGCATCAAAGAATCTATGTTAGTCAGTACAACAATTGTTATAGCTTTCTATTAGGGGCTTTGGGTTCTTAAAAAACTCTGTAAGGACATGGTAGGTAGGATCTGCCTTTTGTAACAATATGAAACTGAATAATTTTTGGTAATGTCTTACCTGATGATATGTAATAACCATGTTATTCTTTTGATATAAGGTGCACATCATAAAAGAGAGCAACCAATGAGAAGTTCAGATAAGGAAAAAAAACAAAAAGAAAAAGAAAAAAGAATGGCTTCTGATGAATGTGACGGACAAGTTTATGCCATTCTGAAGATTTATCTTTCTCTGATACTAGTTATGCATCCTTTTCCCTTTATCTTTTGGTTGCCTATCTGTGAAAACCATGCGATTTCTTCAGAGGCCTTGTACTTGTTTATGGGGTCATGACTGCTTGTTAAACATGAAGAAACACTAAAAGCAGAAGCAGATTATGGACTGTTTCTTGAGGTGTATTCTGTTTTAAACTTTGAAATTGGTTCTTGAAAAGTTGTCTGGCATTGGTTGAGGTTGATATGACCTTGGCCAGCTTACTTTGTCTAACTATAGCCTAACAAGGAACAATTGATTTGGCATAGCTAGATTGTGACTCTAGTTGCAAATATGACCAGAAAACATGAACGCCAAAATATAAGCAACCCATGAGGTTCCACCTAATGATGATGAAATCCAATGTGTTCAAACTGTTAATGCTATCAATTGTGGTGAAGGTGCTATGTCAAAGAAGAAAGAGACTATAACAGGACAACAAATGCTGTTGTGAAAAATGAAGCTAATACTTGGCAACCTAGTCCTAATATAGCAGGGAAGCAATTAGTTCATCTGATGTGTCATCCATATATAGAAAAATTGACAACTACTAGTGGCCTTGAGGTTGGTATGGAAAGACATATAACTACTTGTGCTCTTTCCTTTGGCATAGTTATACCAGTAGGATCATCTGTCTTTGGAAAAGTTAAGGTGCAATTCAGAAATTTTCAGGCATGTTTATATGACTTCTCCAAACAGGTTGGTCTAGTTTTGCTTGTCTGGAAATTAGAGATAAGCCAACTTCATGCTTTATTTGTGGTTCTCTGTGAATACAAAGAAGAATTTTCTGTTTTGCTAAAGTTTATCGTTATTAGATCTTAATGGTTATTTGTCATCTTTAAACATAGAAAATGTCTCAAATCTCAACTAAATAATAACTTTGACTTTTCATTTGACATTCCTACTATGTTCAGCTTGTGGTTTTTTCATCATAGTTAGACAAACATATGAGCTAAATTTCCATAATTTGAAAGTTCCACTCATGAACCATCAGCCAAATACGCACATGCATCTGGAGTACGCAGAGAACTACAGCAAGCTATTATTACTTCTATATTACTAAGAAGATAACTAAATTGTCTAAGAAAAGATATTTGATTAATTGCTGCTATATGATTGCTTCATTTTTCCCTGTGACTTATACAGGCGAAAGATATTACAGAGTTAGGAACTCTCAAGGAAGCAGCAAAGATATTTGTACCTGGTAAATTTCTGACCAGCAAACGGTCTTTCAGATACTTGGATTAGGGTATTTAAGGTTCCTTGTAGTATGATAAAATTATCAAACTTCATCCTCTAGTCCTTTCGCCATAGTCTTATTTATGCTTATCTTTTATCACAACTGCTTGCTACACCACAAACAGCAATTTCTAATGTTGATCATAATTAATGAGATTTGTGAATGGATGAAGATCATAACTTGCATTAAGGTATTTAAGGTTGTATGATACAATCATCAAACTTCATCTTCTAGTCCTTTCGCCATAGTTTTATTTATGCCTATCTTTTATCACAACTGCTTGCTACACCACAAACAGCAATTTCTAATGTTGATCACAATTAATGAGCTTTGAGAATGGATGAAGATCATAAATTGATCTAGCTAATGAATTGAAAGTTTATTTTGCCCACCTCATTGGGTTATGCGGATTTTCATTCTGGCATTATTATTGTTTATACCTGATAGTTTGTAGCACTCAGAATTTCTGTTTGCTCACCTGTAGCTGTCTGTTCTGCAGGTGGTGCAAATCTGTATTCTGCTCGTACCATAAAGATTAAGGAAGATGAAAGTCTTAGGTAACTTTGAGTTTAAGAGGTAGAGTTGTCTGTCAAATAATTCTATTCACCCACTAAGGTTATACTTCAATTAAATTTTCCATTAAGAATTACAAATTTGTTGGTTTTCTAATTCCCTTTTCTTTGAGTTTTAAGTATGTTGAGTACTCACTGATCCTGTGTCTTGTACTGTTTTATAAGTGAATCATGTAGTGAAAGATTTGTTTCAATTGACCATTAAAGTAGCTAGCCTCTTTCTATTTATTTCTTTCCTTCCTAGACTCAGAAAATGTTCAAATTTTGTAATATGAAATGAATATAACCTTGGGTTCATCTCCAAGGTCCTAGTAACCATAACGATAGATTTTAATTCTCCCAGGACTTATTACTTCTATGAGTTCGGCATCGATACACAGCGTGTTGCTTTGATGACTTCTGTATATAGTGGAAAGGTAGTTATTCCTGGTACATCTCTTTTCTTTAAACTTTATTTACTTCTAATTTACATTTGCATTGACAAAGTATGAATTTGATGCTTCTTTCAGTTAGCTTACCATTGGTTTCACCCAATCTAACATTTTTCTGTAGTTGCTAATTTGATCCCCTTTTCTTCTTTTACCACCATTTAGCAGTATCCTTTTGTCTCTATCTAAAAATCCTTTTTATAAATGGAGGATTTAATAAACTATGAACAAGTTGAATCTCAACAAAAAGGTTGACAAACAAAATTCTCTGACCGGACAGTATGAATACTTGGTATGAATGAGAGTCTGGGTTGCTCAAATGTCAATAACGTTCAGACCGAAACTAGAATTCTGTCTAATGTTATTTGAAATGCAAAATGTGATCTGTGGTGTGATTTTCTGCAAGGCATGATAGGTCGGCCCAATTTTGGTTAAAACTCAGATAATTATTGATGAATTAAGTGTGCAGTTACAGCAACAGCAATATGGATCTCAGTTTGATCATGATAGCGATCGTGTGTATGCCGACATACTTATCTATGCATTGGTATGGACTGGACCTGTATTGGTCCGGCAAAGGTCTGCTACCCAAGATACAGGATCTTGCTTTGGGTTTTGACTGGCATAATAATAAATGTTAGAATAGCTTTATATTGTTTATCCTAAGCTTTTCTGTTACTTCTTTTCCGATGCAGGCATACATAGCTGGTGCAGCTGCTCCAGAAAACAAATGGGATGACGACGGTGTCAATCTACGTTCCGCAGCTATATCCCTGTCGATTGTTTAAGTTTCTGCAGAACGATGCAGTTTTTGAATGCAAGATGATTGATAGGCACATTGCACCTCGACTAGCATGTCAGGCCATGAAGGGAAGCATGCCAAATTAGGGAAATTTTACATTACAATTTGACTAGAGAGAAAAGGGGAGATTTAGTGTTTGTTTCATCCAATCTTTGTTAAGTGATACACATACCTTGAAATCTTGTGTTTCTGTAGCTACAATCGGTTGTCAAATTTCTTGTAATATTAATATCCAAGAGATTATTGTATCATTTGTAATTTGTACATAGTGCCCATGTAACTTCTTGTATTCTCTAACACAGTATGTATCTTGTAATCTTTGATAACCAAAATCTTCTTTCTTTGATTTTAGGAAGGAAAATTAAAATTTATTTCTACAGTTGATATTTGAATAAAACTATTTATTTTGCTGAAGCTACTGCTTTTATAGCCCATTAACATCCATTCAAAAAAGTTGGATCGATTACATCTAGCTTTAGTTAATATTAGCTAGTGTGAATAATTATGAAATTGATATAATCATAGTACTTTCAATTGGTAGTCCTTTATTTTTGCAAGTATTTAACTTTATTATAGGTATCAGATTCACTTATCAAATGATGTGGGCAAAAAAATTTTCGAACTTAGAGTTTTTCCTGTTAATTCATCGAAACTTAGGGGGCTTTACTGGAAATTCGCTCATATATATATATATATATTAACTTTACCGGACACGTGCCGGCGCTCGGAAACTATTCTAAAGCGTCGGTTTCATGCGCGCAGGTCCCGCCAATGAAAGGCCACGTCACCCACAGAAGCTCTCAGTGGGACGACTCGGTTAACTTTTAACGGCATTTTCCTCCAAAACCGCCCCTCGTCACACGGAATCTGGTGGCGTTAAGAGGTCTCATCCTTGTTCCCGATCCATTTCGTTCCCAATCTCAGATCCAGAGAGAGAGAGAGAGAGAGAGGGAGAAGGGAGATCTGAGAGAGAGAGAGGAGGAAGATGCACGGCAGGGGGTACACGCGGGTGGAGAAGGGGGAGGAAGGCGACTTGGAGGCTGGGTGGGGCCCGCTGCACCCGGGCCTCTCCCGCGGCGAGTCCGAGCTCCGATGGGGCTTCGTCCGCAAGGTCTACGGCATCCTCGCCACCCAGATCCTGCTCACCACCGCCGTCTCTGCCGCCACTGTCCTCCATCCGTCCGTCAACGCCGCCCTCGCCGCCAGCCCCGGCCTCGCGGTTGTCCTCGCCATCCTCCCTCTCGTCCGTAAGCCATCTTACCATTTTCTTTCTTTCCCTTCATTTTTTTCTGTTCTCTTGTTTATTAATCTTTAGATCGTTTGGGATTTGGATGAGCTGATAGTTCGAAATCGCGAGTCGGCTGTCCAAGCGGCTAAGTTTTCTTTGACCTCGATTTTCTCGATCAATCTGTAGGTATTTCTTAGAATCATGAAGTGGTCACTGTAGAATGTCATAATAAATTGATAACTATCCTAACTTTCAAGGTAGACATGCATGGACCAGATTATATAGGTTCAGTGAGTTTGGCGATTAACTGCATAAATTACCGATTAGGTTTATCCAGTACTTTAAACAAGACTATGAATTAGCTGTTAGATTCACAGTAGAGCTCCATAAATTGCAAAATTGAGGTATTGTCTATTACTGTAAAAACAAAATTAGCGTTCGAATCATTATTTGTTAGGTTGCAATGACTTTAAAGTGTCTATTTATTTTGCATATTTCAACATATCCACATTATCCTAATACTCGGTGATGACCCTGCTTTTTTTTTTTCTTTTTTCTGAAATCAATACGACCAATCTGATTAATTCAATTTGAGGTCAGCTATATGATCTTTTCCACCACCAGCTTTTTGTTGGGTTTGGGACACTCAGGTTGTTGTCACTTTTGGGTGAGACATAGTCAGTAAACAGATCTGAGAAATTTATACACTAGTTATTAACTTCTAAAGAAAATCTCCTTTGTTAAATTTGGAATGTTGTAGCATAAAGGATATAACAATAAGCAGTTAAGCACACATAAGCAGAGTTGATTTTTTTATGATCTATGGACCTAAAATCATATTGATCAAGGTCAATGATCTGATGTTAACAAAATAACCTAGTACGTGTTTTAGTCGAATATATTTTTCAGCATTATTTGGTTTTGGCTTGATAAACATACAAAAGCTTCTTAAATTACATAAGTTATTGTTCCTTGGTTCTCAATAGTTGTGTCTGCTGATTAGTGCTGATTGTCTACTTGTTTCTTATGTCTATTTTGACTCGAAAGGATTAAGACCTTAATTCTGGCTAATGGGATAGTAGCCTGATATATGCAGTCACTCTTTATATTTCTTTTATTGTTGATGCTTAATTTGTTGAGTAGTTTACAAGTAGCTAGCACCCTTTCTTATGTGGAAAAAATTGGAATTATATCTTAAGATATTATTTCTCAAGGGTGGTTGTGTATGGGCGTTACGCTGGTCAGCACAACGCCTGCACATACCACATGCTCCCATGTCACAAATGGGTTAATTTTTTAAATAGATAAATGGATCATAGCCAGTGTATGCATCTCATTGATTTGCACGTAAAGACAAATTTGGATTCTGTAAGTGTAAGCCACTAGCCTCTACCATTTAACCATGGTATCTCATTTGTTTTGTTGAGAGTTGGATTCTTCTTTATGATGTAATGGAATAGGCCAAGATGAGGTTGGTGTTACTTTCCTCCTGGCCTTTGCATCACCTTGTTGTACTGTGTGTGCTTCAAGTAAAAGTTTACTATATGTATTGTGGCAATATTCAGAGTCCCCTTGCTTTCTTAGTGTGAGGTGGCCTTGTTGAACTTTGTTTCTCATCATTAATGTTGAGTGATGAAATATTTGTTGCTTATGTGGCAAAATAGCATCTTAATCATCTTTAGTTTTGTTATAATTGTTTCATATCTGTAGTTTATTAATTACCTATGTTTTGCAGTGTTGTGCCCCTTATATCATTATCGACAGAAGCACCCACTAAATTTCATGTTTCTTGGCCTTTTCACTGTGTGCCTGAGCTTAAGCATTGGTGTGGCTTGTGCCAATACCCAAGGTAATTTGTTTTGCTAATTTACATGGTAAAGGTATTTTAGCCAAATACTTTATTTATTCTCTTTCTCTGCTGCTTGTGCCTATTAACTCTTATTGCCTTAATTATATTTCAGGAAGGATTGTGCTTGAGGCATTGATTTTGACCTCTGCTGTTGTTGCGTCCTTGACTGGCTATACTTTCTGGGCATCCAGGAAGGGCAAGGACTTCAGCTATGTTGGACCATTTGTATTTTCTGGTCTCATCATTCTTCTCGTGACCAGCTTGATACAGGTATTTTCTGGTCTCATCATTCTTTTCACTTGCTAAAATATTATGCAACACAAAAATCCATTTAATTCTTAATCTCATTGTTAAGAAGTTTATTCTTATGTCATGTAAGTTAGTGATGCATCATTTGTCTACTTGGATAATCTTTACCTAACTTGAACTGGGGATGATTGTTTATCTTTTTCTGATTGTGATCACCATTTCTCATTGCGTATATTTAAATATATTTTTGCTACTATCTAGTGATGAGGTGCAAGGAATTTTTTCAAAAGTCTGCTTTGATGCTAGCAGCAACCATTAGCATTTGCCTGTGAGAGCTGTTAATTTGCTTTTAGGCAGACTCGTAATTCAAATGCAGTAATTATATTATTAGATTGTTAAGAATGAACTCCTTATACTAGTAAAACATAATTTAAAATGCTCCATTTTGGACTCGTTGTCATTTTGTTTACAAAAGTTCTGTTTGTTTCTCCTTAATTTATTTGACATGCAATGCCTGACCAAGAAGACAAGAAACATTCTGTCAGTTTCTAGCAAAGTTGGAACTTTGGCCACAATTGGTCCTTCTCAGTCAGTAACAATGTGAAAGTTTGAGGGCTTCAATGTCTCATTTTGGTTAGTAGCTGAAAGTCCTGTTTGCTGTGTGGGTATGCGCTAGATCTGGCCTTTAAGAAAGGAAGGAGAAGTGTGGATTTAATCTCTTGTAAAATAAGAATAGCTCTTTTGAAGCATAATTTTATGTTTTTCTATACAAGTTTGAATTATGTAACATCCTGATTAATCCCACATCGGAAGTAAACAAAAGCTAAGATTGACTTACAAGGGTCTGAGTAGTGTACTACTATCAACTTTAGTTTAAATATGTTGGCCAGTGGTTTGGATCAAAAGAAGCTAATAGGTCAATTAGCCTATCGGGCCCTGATCGTGACATTTGGTATTAGAGTCGACTTAGTATTTTGGCATGGTGAGAAGACTCAAGCTAATAGGTCAATTACTCGTGGATGGAGTCAAATGACTCGTAACATTCCGATTAGTCTCACATCGGAAGTGGACAAAGACTAAGATTGACTTATAAGGGTCTGATGAATATACTATTATCAAACTTCAATTGAAGCATTTTGACCAATAATTTGGGTCAAAAGAAATTAATAGGCCAATTAACCCATTAAGCCTGGATCGTGACAAATTATACCAGAAAATAAGATCCATAGATTAAACATCTTAGTTTTTGGGAAATTTCTAATCTCTCTTCTTTTTCCTTGCTACATAGTGTAAGATATAGAGATTTTAGTGTTAGTTTTGAAAACTATTATCTATCAGGACCTTGGAATTAAAGCTAAATTCTAGACTCAATTCTTCTTGGACCCTCAAATTTTAAATTCTAGATGATGCATAAAGCATGCATCCACTATGGTCCCTAGAAGTTGCAAAAGTCTTGAACATAATTGGCCGAGACAACTTGTAAGTCTGATTTATACTACCATCTAAGCTTGTGCAGTTCCTTTTTGCTAAAAGTTGAAGTTGACACATTTACTTTTTGGTCTTGTGCGTGAACCATGTGGATATATTTTATTTATGATGTCAATTAATGCTTGTGAATGTCTGATGCTGGCATGTGCAGATATTCTTCCCACTTGGACCAACATCTGTTGCTATCTTTGGTGGGTTCGGGG